TTTTAAATCAGCCTTGTTTTTGTTGTTTGTGGTTGTTGCCATCTCTTGGTTAAACTGCAGTCTCCATTTCTTTTGCTTTATACAGAACATGGTCCAATAATCGACCTTTTGGTAAAGTCTGCAAGTTTGAGCCTGTGAAAGCTGTAAGAAGTTAGATTGTTTGCAGCTGGTACAGCTTGGGCCCTTTCTTCAGCAGAAAACCTTGTTCATTCAGGGAACTCAAGAGGCCTTCGAAATCCATCACCTAGAAAGAGTTAATGATTGACTTAATATAATTAAGAATTATACATTTAATGCAATTAATCATATAGTTTTCATTCATGTTTAAGTATGAAATCACCAAGGTTTGTGGTGAGGAGAGGGAAGCCCACCTGTGTATAGTTACAAAAGGCAAAATATAAAGGTTTTGGAAAATCTTCTCTATATAGGTACAAAGCTTTGTGTAAAAATCAAAAGTACTGACCGATTTCAGTCAGTAAGGCACCATTAAAGATGTGCTGTGTTTGATAAAACATTTATAGTTGGAGTTTTATTTCATTTTGGGATAATCAAGAGTTCTAACCCTTGCTGATGTGGTCTACATGTTGGCTAAAGCAGTGTCTGTATATCTTTAAATCTTCCACATGCTTTTCTAATGTTTGTTTTTGCATTTTTATTCACAAAGAGCTTAAACAAGTCGATACCTTTTTCCTATTTTCCTTTAATAAAGTTTTTGTATCATAATGACATCCAAAGTAATTGTTCACAAATGATGAGAGAACACTATTAATGTTTGTGTCTTTACCTTTATACTGTAAATCAGACACAGTGTTAACTTGACTCTTATTATTTTATATTTCAGTGCTTTCACCTTAACGTTCACTCTGTTGGCAATGGATCGAAGCGTCTGTACGTCGAACTGCTTCTGACCGGTCCTCTGAGCGTGCTGGTGCAGTGCATTGACCAGTCGTTTTGCAGCACTGCGCTGACTCATACCAGACCCGAGCTGAGAGCGCTCAAAGTCCAGATTGCCGAGACCATCTGAATACGTGTTGGCCAGACTGAAAAACAAGAACCACAAAACGAAGGAGAGAGAAATTTACATGCATTATTATTTAACAAAAATATTAACACTTATCATCTTAGAGTTGGCTTTGGCCTACCATACTATGCACATTATTACTAGTATGTATTTTCTGTGATATTAAAGTGTCGTATACCGGTATCCCTGCAATAGCAACACCATGTATTTATGTTCCCCAGTGAAACAAGTCCAAGCATGTCTGACTGTAAGAGCTGTTTCAGTCTTCTATTACAATTTAGTTCCTTGAAAGGGAGCTACTTCAACAACCTCCAACAAAGCACAGCACTTTGCAAAATATGCAAGAAAACTGTTCCTGCTAAAGATGGAAACAACAAACGTGTTTGAGGCAAAAACACCAGAGAACAACCAGACTGCAAAGGAGGAGGAGCAGCTGGCGATGTGGAACTCACGAGCAAACAGATGACTCAACTGAGCATTGCTAGCTCCGCTCCACGTGACACTATTATGGATGGAGAGGGTTACATTAGTCCAATATTGTCCATATGACAATAAGCAAATGGTCGATGCAAATTACTGATGCAGTAACATGGTGGAAAAGCTTGGCTTTAATCA